TTTGTTTACAGCGGTAACCCAGGAAACACTGTATCATTGCTGTTCATAAGCACCACCTGCTGGCAGAGAGTGCATCTGCGTCTCATTCAGCTCGTCTGCTGTTTCCTTCAGATATGTTTTATGTAGCATAGTTTCACAAAACTACAGTCAGACCATTCTGTTTTTGCTTCAAATTTCAAAGTATACGGTCTAATTTAGATTAAAAACTACTCATTCTGCATCTTTGTTTGGATCATGATTAAAATGCATTGGTTGATTTTGGGGTTTGTTTTAAAATAAAAATTTAGTTTTGTTATATTTCAATTTCAAAAAGAAACATGCAGCAATAGCCTAATAAAACGGCAACTTTTCATTTACTGTATAATGTCTTCAATCTCATTTTGTTAAAAGAAAAATCGTGAGAAAATCGAATCGTGAAATCAAATCCGTAAATCGAATCATGAGTTGAGTGAATCGTTACATGCCTAATCGGCGGATAGAGCTAGGAACAGAGAGCTGGGTTAGTTTGGTCTGGAGGAGTGCTGGGATGATTGTACTGAAAGCAGAACTGAAGTCCACAAACAGGATCCTCACACAAGTCCCTGGTTTGTCTAGATGTTGTAGGATATAATGCAATCCCATGTTGACTGCATCATCCACAGATCTGTTTGCTCGGTAAGCAAACTGCAATGGGTCCAGTGATGTCCTTCAGATAAGCCAACACCAGTCTCTCAAACGACTTCATGACCACTGATGTTATTTCAGGCATTGAACCAAAAATTCATTCAAAAAACCCATTGAGTTCAGGTCGAAATGCTAACTCATCTCTGGGCCTACAATAATCTGTCATCCCTGCATCACATCTTTTATAACTATAATAGCATTGTAGACATCTCATTTGAAAGTTTGGTATTTTATTTTGAACTGAATGTCATTGGTGTGTTTTTGGGGAGGTTTTCTACAGTGACAGTGTGTGTTTCCCTGCTGAAGATGAGGACCATCTGTGTCATAGTCTGCCAGTCACTGGCTGTTGTGCCGCTTTGTTTCTGCCGTCTCAACCCGCACGGCTCGCAGTCATCCACTCTGACGGCCGCTTCAACAACAACACACTCTCAGTCTTTGACCTGACAATGAAGGAATCCAAATGCAAAAAGGAAACACAAGGTTGGCCTTAAAAATGTGTTGCTTTCTTATTTTTGTTAATATTTTCGTACACGCCTACAAATTACAAATAAAAGTATTACAATGCAATAATCTCTACTGATACAGTATGTCATGCCTTCCCATTTTAGCTCAGCAAGTCGCCTCTTTTCCGGTAGCGCTAAGCCATCGTTCGGACGTCATTCTCGAGGCGAGAGGGAGCAGCGCTCTTCTAGTTACAGATGGAAACCATCTGAAGGTCTACACATTTAAAGGAGAACTTGTTGCTAGTTTTGAAGACCATTTACAGCCAATCACTGCTCTTTGTGTGGTAAGCTGTTTGACCAATACATTTCAAAACTCTCCCTTTGAATAGTTTGACTTATAAAATGAATTGTGCTATCTTGCAGGACAGTTTTAGGGTGGTGACAGCATCTCGTGACCTATCTCTCAGAATACTGACCTGGAGAAATGATCCAGAGCATGGACTTACACTTGAAAGCCAGTATCATTTGCTCGGAGGCTCCTTCAGAAGGTCCAGGTACAGCATTATCGCCCACACTGTCAGGTGATTTTTACATGCACCATGTTTTGACGGGTAAATTGACTTTTTTTGTATATATGTATTTCCAGAGGATTCACCAACGTTGCCTGTGATTATTCGAGTATTGTGGGCTCTGTGGAGTCAGTGGATGGGAACGATGTTCTGAAGGCTTATACCTTTGATTTCTGACCACATAATCACCAGATGTATTCAGATGTTTTATACTTACTGACCAGGGCTGCGTTTCCCAAAAGCATCGTAAGCCTAAGTAGATCGTAGACCCATTGCCACCAATGGTCTCTACGATCAACTTACGATGCTTTTGAGAAACGCAGCCCAGATCCATGTATAGCCGGAGATGCTGTTACATTAATGAGACAATTAAAACATTAGAACTAATGTTTTTACATAGATATCAAAAAGGTTAGAAGGACTAGTGGGATTGTTTGCATAAAATATATAACTATAATATGACTATAACTTTTCCTCTTTGCAATAAAGCTAATCTCAGAAGATTTAATTTCTAGTTGTGTGCAATCTAATTTTATTACAAATAACTGTACAAGCATGGTACAAAAATGAGAGGTTTCAGTTGCGATGCTTTTCAAGTATTAGCACAATGGCACATCGTATACAGTGTATGGTATTTCTTTTACATCAAATAATTTACCATGTAAAACGCATTTTCCAACTTCTACAAATGGGACAATTATAGTTCAGTCTATCTGTGGGCTAAATCACATGCTGGATTCCTCATCAGAACCAAGACCTGAGAAACAACCAAAGGAACTGCAGCAGCAGATGTGTAGAGCTCATCTTTGATGTTGGACAAAGATGTAAATAAACGAATTCTCTTTGTAATTAAGATGTTCAGCTAGTTAATGTCACATGTGTTAGACCTCAAACTCATTCATGACAGCCGACCTCAAATGATGCAGAGCAATCTTCAAGATCCCGTTCATGATTTTGTGGACACTCTTCCCACCATCTGTGTTTTTCATCTAAAGAGAGCACCAAAGTAAATAAAAGTATGCATGTGACCATTTCAGGGCATCTCAGAATGACACACAGTACCTTTGTGAAAGCTTTTGTCGCTCGCTCCAGGAAAGTGCTCTCGACTTCCTCGGGTATTGTTAATACATGAGCAAAGCAGTCCAGAATACACATCACTGTTTCTCTTGAAGCCTGAGGATGGTAATAAGAATGGATTCACATCATGGAACAAAATTAAAATGCACGCATGAAATGTCTCTCGTTAGTCATATTGATCCATACTAATCTAAAGTTAATACATTTTAAAAGAACAGATCTGATATTTAAATCTTACCCTATCTAGGCAGTTGAGCACAGTTTGGGGGTCCTCACTGGTCTCTGTTAGTGTGTGAACATCATGAGCGGAGATGATTGGCTCTTTGAGCTGCTCCAGCCAGGACCACATGAGTCCAGACAGAATAAATGGGTCTTTTTCCAAACACAGTCGCTCCCACGCACCTTGACGATTAAGATCTGCCTGCAGAGGAGAATGAACAAATTTACTAATCTTTCATTCAGAAAGTTTAGGCCATATTTTCTATATGATGTGAAGAGAGAGCCATATAAGACTAAGACTAACTCGGACATCTTTAGGTTTCAGCGCCATAGAGAAACATTGGAAGATCTGAAGCTCTCATCGGTTTGATGGTGTTTATGTTACAAAACGGTGTGCCTAGGGTACTTGTACCGCTGATTCCAGTTATCCTGAGAGGATGGGCAATGGAATTTATTTTATTCCATTTCCTAAACCCAAACAAAACAGAGCAAAATGTCCCTAAGCATTCACCCCCAATCCCAATGAAGACGAAAACGTTCATTTTCTGGTTGTCATACTCTCATTAAGTTACAATTTTCATCTGCTCGTGCAGAACGTTAATGTCATATTGTGCTGCAATGTATCTCATGAGGGTCAATTTTTCGAAATTGAGATTTATGCATCATATGAAAGCTGAATAAATAATCTTTCCATTGATGTATGGTTTGTTAGGAGAGCACAATTTACAAAATATCTTCATGGAGCATGATCTTTAATTAATTTCCTAGTGATTTTTGGCATAAAAGAAAAATCAATAATTTTGACCCATACAATGTATTTTTGGCTATTGCTGCAAATATACCCCAGTGACTTAAGACTGCTTTTGTGCTCCAGGGTCACATATATCGCTCCATGGCATATTTAAGTCCCACTTGAATGGTGATCCTTCTGTGTCCAAAATATATCAAAAACAGTGGGGAACCGTCAGAGAGGGCCTAACTTATTGTAAAAACAATATTTACAATTTTTAAATAAATGTTTTAAAATATAATATTTTTTATAAAAAATAATTATTACAAATTTTATTCAAGCAATTCATAATTTGACAAACATCATCCAACTTCTGTGAAAAAAAAAAACCTCTTCAAATCTGCGTATTCAGTGAATGGACTTATGAACACCGCCCATTATTTCCATATTTGAATGTTTCCGCCTAGCGTCTGCGGCTCTGTGATTGGAGGTCCAGCTGTGAAATTACAGAGGGACAAGCAATAGTAAATCAATGGGGGAGTAATTTCGAATGACAGAAAAATTGACCAATCATATCTTTCCTCTAAATGGGCGGGCCTTGTTATCACTAACTTTACAACGTGTATCACACACCGAACGCGTCGCGTCAGCAAACGGGATGAGAAATTGCGATCTATAGCACAATGAATCAGGGAATTTATTAGAGCAACAGAAAGACAAACGTTTTGCTAAAAAATGCACAATACGCAATCTTCCAACCTAGGATGAAGTCATTATGTACATTAACAATAATTTGGGACAAATATAATGTAATTTAATGGAAAATTATGTGAATGGCGCTGGGGCGCGGCAGGATTATGAGTCGGGAGCCGCGGACAGCGCTGGTGTTCATACACCGTCATGGAAAACAATGTGTGGGAATTTTAAAGAAGTGGTGCGGCACGGTGCAGGGCTGCACATGTCGTCCAGTGTGCGACCGCCTTAAGGTTGGATAGCCTCTTGTTTCAGAGGTGGAATGGTCAAAGATTACTTTTAGAAGAGGACACCGTAAGCTAGGCTGGTAGTTTTTTCCCCCGATGAGGGTAGGGGGAGAGGGCCTAGGCTCAAGAGTCACGGTTCGCTACTGATCAAAAACATCTTGGGACAAGGTTTTCACACTGACAGCTGTCATTGTAAGACAGTTAGCAAATCCGTTTGTTTGTCCGAGTGAGCAACAGTAACTAAGGTGGGCGGGGCTTACTGATAGGTCAATTAGGTCCATCATGCAGAGCTGCCTGTCTTCAGTGGGACTATGAGGATGAATTGGAGGAAGGCAGAATAAGACGCTACATGCTAAAACTCATTGTAAGTACTTGGATGCAGAGTTGTCAACAGAAAACCACATAATCCCCTGACCTGTTGGTTTAACAACCAGACTAGGAATTTTAATGAACTGAAACAGAGAATATGCTGACTTAATAGTGGCATTTCACAAGTTCACATGTTCATGTAATCTTTAGTGAAGAGGTTTGGCTTGCTGTTGAACTCGACCCAAGCCTGAAGTACCCCCTAGGACTTACATACGCCTCTTCAGGTGCTAACTTTTCTTCTCTCCCAACTTTTCTTTGGAACTCATTTAAACTATATTTAAAACAATGAACTAAGAACAAATAAAACGTCTTTCAGCCATGCAATCTCTCTAAAACAGTGAAGATACAGTGGCAACTTGTAATCGTCTCTTGAAGTAGAATGGAAAGAGTCTGCAGTCTTGTCTGAGACCATACACCAAAACCTAGATTCAGGTCAAGAGGACCACAAGATCAACTCTCCAAGTCTGATGGGATATAAAGTAAATCATAGAGCAGATATCCTAAAAACTATGCAGCCACAGAACTCATCCTGCTAAAGATGGACACTCATGTCTGGAGGTGTGCAAGTTCTGAAAAAGGCTCCTAAAGACACCTCTGCTCCTCAAACAAATCCTACAGCAGGGATGGGCAGCTTCGGTCCTATTATTTTTAAGCACTCCTTAACAGTTTGGTTGGATTTTTTCAGGTATGTTTGATTAGGGATTGAAGTAAACCCTGCAGGACTGTGGCCAATCCCTGCCCTTAACTTTAATACTTCTTAGTACAGGGCTGCAGAACTCAGTTCCTGGACGGCCACAGCCCTGCAGAGGTTAGCTTCAACCCTAACTGAACACACCTGATCCAGCTAATCAAGTCCTTCAGGCTTATTCGAAAGCTACATGGTATATGTGTTGGAACTAAACTCTGCAGTTCTGCACACCTGTCTTAGTAAATCAGTACATGCATCTACCTGCCAAGTAGACACCTTCTGAATTTGCACCTTCTCTCCCTCCTTCTCGAGGTCTACCGCAAGGGACTGAGCCACCAGGAGGCGACGTGACTCCAGAGACAGCTCGGACTGGACAGTAATGAAGGGCACCTCCGAATGCTCTTTTTCATTATGTTGAGTCTCGTCAGGGTCAGAACTGTGCTTGCAGTCTGTCCTCCAGTAAGACAGTATTTGGGAGATGCTTGTGGTGCTTTTCTCATCTGAAACGCCTAGAGATTGGCTTCGCTGCAGGACCGACTGCCTCCTGGTTTTGAGCAGTGGAGATCCTTCTGTCTGGTCCATAAGAGTTTTCAGCTCCCATATATTGCTGGTTGAGCTGTAGATGGGATTGTGCTTGCAAGCCCCCAGAGAAGGAATGACGTAGTTCTGGGAAACACAGCTGAAAGCTCCCAGCTGATCGTTGATGGTAGTTGAGTGGATGCTGGCTAAAACCCCGAGAGGGTTATCCGAGAGGTTTAAAGACGCTGCTAACCTCTGGAGGTCAGACTCGCTGTAGCTAAGGCTCTTACGGACATAATAAAGAGGTTGTGTGTTGCTTCTATTGGCTCTGGGTAGACCTGGAAGACGCGGCCTGATCATAGTCGTCCCATTTTCCAATATCTCTCTGTTTAACTGATATATTGAATTTTCATTAAATGTTTTCTCTACCACATGTGTGACGTCAGGAACCTCGACAACGTCCTCCTCGATAACCTGGTGATTCTCTGCGATGTCCAGTAGGAGTCTGCAGATGAGAGGGACGAGCTTTGGCACGTATCTCAACTTCCGAGCCTCGTATCCGTGCAGTATATGTTTCTGCCGTATCAAGTATTGTGAAAGAGTAACAGGCGGCGCTCTGGGCTCAGCGTTAGCAAACACGTTCCTTAGCGGAACCAGGAAGTGAGCAAACTGCCTGACGCACTGGAGCTGTCCTCTAGTCTGGATAGAGTTTGGTCGTTTGCTTCGAACTAACAGAATGGCTTGGTCTGCTGTCATCTGTGTGGTGAACAACAAGAAACAGGCCAGCAACACACCTATGACATCAACAAGTAAAAAGAGTTAGTATCCAACTAGCGTACATCTCGTAATGTTGCAGTTCGGTTGCAAAAATTTAAGTGTAGGTTACTACAAGATTGAAAAACTATTTAATAGGGCTTTTTTGTCTTTATTTGAGAGGACAGTCAGGGAGAGACAGGGATCAGGAAAGCCTTCCTGTAGCTTGAACAGTAGAGTATGGCATTAGCAGGGCAGGATTATGATACGGCGGTGCCCTGGGCATGGACCGATTTGAAGGCCCCCATGATTTGAAGGCCCCCCTCAGTTGAAATCATGTTTTGGGGGCGGCGGTAATTCGGCTGGGCCCCTCTCTGGTCTAGTGCCCTGGGCACGTGCCTGGTAGTGCCGTGTGTTAATCCGGCCCTGGGCAAACATGCCATAGTCATGGGTTCGATTCCCTAGGAATGTATGAATTGAAAAAATGTATAATTCTTTAATGTAAAAGCTTTGGCTAAATGAGTCTGTGTAAATGGAAAAGGACCATGAGCTGGGACTTGTACTTGAGTCACCTGGAGTGCTGTCCATAAGGCTATAGCTATGACAAACCCTAAAATAAACACATTTTTAGAAGCTTGTGCTCACTGCATGAGTAGTGCTTATGCAGATGCTTTTGACTAAAGCGACTTACGGCAGCATTATTACTGACACAATCCCTCTGGAGTAACTAGGGGTTAAGTGTGCTGCTCGAGGACACAATAATAATAGCTTATGTCTGCTTCTGGGGATCAAACCAGCAACCCATACGCCACATCACCCAAAAAAGATGTATTTTTATTCAATTATAAATATACTGTATTTTAAACCTACTGTACCTGTTCTGCCAAGCCCTGCGTGACAGTGAACAGCCATCTTGCCTTCTTGGATGGCAAAAGACATGACTTTCACCATATCCAAGATGGATGTGAGAGACGCCACACCATAGTCATTCCATCTAAAGTTGTAGAAATATACTAAAATAAAGCAACAAGAGTACCTTTACAACCTAATCATATAAAAACAACCACTGCTATGTTTTTACTTAATGTGTTAAGAAGATTCTTTACGTCTTTAACTTCTTATTGTCACATTACACAGAAAAACGCATTGAAATCTAAAAGTTTGGCAGAATCAATGTACAAAAAGCAAGTCACTCACTGCCAGCCTCCATGAATGTCTCCGGTCGGTAAGAAAAGCCACTCTGGGGATCCAGCGGGTTTCCACAGCTGGCATGTTCGCCAGGGCACTGGAGGTTAATAACGGTCTTCAAACCACATCTTAACACGACGAAACAGCAAATCATAAGAGTGTACCAAACACATACTCCAGAACCAGTTTTCTAAAGGCACGTTTCTGCACGATCATCAGTTTTACCTCAAAAACTGGTCTATTACGTCAAATTTTTCAATGATTTTGGTGGAAGGGCGGGCCATGGCCAGCAGATTGTCAGTGATCCTAAAAAGAAACAGAGGAACCATGAGTTGGAATAATCCATTCATACATGCTGTTATTGCATAAAACTTGGATTTACTGATTGGTTTTAAAAAATGTTGGCATGCAAAATAAAATAAACGCAAGCCTTTGATGATCGGCTGACTTTCTGTAGAGAATGCTCACCAATAACTGCATTTATTTGATTGGAAATACAGTAAAAACAATAAGCTGAATTTTCAGCATCGCTACTTCAGTCTTCAGTGATGCTTAAGAAACATTTCTTATTATAATCAATGTTGAAAACAGTTGTGCTGCTTAATTTTTTTTGATGAGTACAAGTAGTTTCTCCCCAGTTCAAATAATGCAAAAACAATATATAAACTGTTCATTAATATTACCTTTAATTTGCCCCTCAAACGTTAAACATCCAGATGCAATACAGTAACTACAATATGGGATGGTAGTGTGCTTAATTGTCACAATGTCAAAATGCAAAAAGTCAGGTTTCATTCTTTACGCAAAATAGAGTTTGGTTTTGTTTTGGAGTGAAATGTGACACCCAGCAATTCAAACGCTATAAGGATATAACTTGTCTTCATACAAAAGATATTTGCATTTTTCATTAATTCACCATTATTTCACTTCTCAGATATCCACTAAAAAGTCTTTAGCGACCATCATGTTAATTTCTTTACTCACCATTGATTCCAGAGAATGAGTTGCGATTATTACTCACCCAAACACAGCTAGAGAAAATCAACTGTACTTTCTCTTCAATGCATTGAATCCACAGCTGATTTGATAACTTGTCAATATATCATTTATTTTGTCTTCCTTTAAGATGCACGCTCTTCTTCACTGTGCAAAGCGTATGGATCCATCCAGATCGGCTGTACATCATTTTCAAGCAGTGTCTGGCTGAAGGTAGAGTTAATACTGCAGTTCTGTGCTCACATCAAAGAGTGAATATAAAGCGGCTATTTCAGACTCCCTCAAGATTTACCATCTAATCCACTTACTCCTGAAATAGCCCATTTCTCTGGCCACTGACCTCAGAGACGGACAGCGTCATCAGCCACAGCTCTGGCTGCATTCTAGTAATTTCAGCTCTAGTTCATTGCTTCTTTACAGACATTGACGGCTGTTAATTCAGCCCATCAAGAGGCCAGTGCAGCTCCTACTGAAGCCAGTAACTGAAAATGACAGTGAGGTGAGGTTCTCAAAGCTTTGCAAACTGATGGACTTACAGCAAATCTGATTAAAGGAGAGTCTCCTAAGTAGGAAGTTAACAAGCAGCTGACGCACTGCTCCTCCATCAGCATCAGAGTCAAACTCATCTGTGAGCCTGCAGCACAAAAGCAGTCTTAAGTCGCTGGGGTATATTTGTAGCAATAGCCAAAAATACATTGTATGGGTCAAAATTATAGATTTTTCTTTTATGCCAAAAATCATTAGGATATTAAGTAAAGATCATGTTCCATGAAGATATTTTGTAAATGTCCTACTGTAAATATATCAAAACTTAATTTTTGATTAGTAATATGCATTGCTAAGAACTTCATTTGGACAACTTTAAAGATGATTTTCTCAATATTTCGATTTTTTTGCACCCTCAGATTCCAGATTTTCAAATAGTTGTATCTCAGCCAAATATTGTCCTATCATAACAAACCATACATCAATGGAAAGATTATTTATTCAGCTTTCGAAAAATTGACCCTTATGACTGGTTTTGTGGTCCAGGGTCACATTTAGATGACGGCTGTCATTATGACAATACATATCTAAAGACAAAAGACAGTAAGCCACTTTAAATGAATTAAAGAACAGTTCAGAGATTTTATTGTTTATGAATAAAGGACATTAATAATCATTACATAACGGTAATTACGGAAACCCTGATTGGCCCTCTTAAGTGTCACTGATTTTAAATGTCAGTGCATCACATATTTTCCACAAGTGCGATAATCTACCGTATATGAGTGCAGGAATCAAACTGGTCTCACCGACAGTCACCCTGTAAACACCAGCAAACAGATTCACCGCTGACTTCAGTTCACTGACACGACTCTTTCTACATTAGTTTTACACACACATTAAAATGAAGAGGAAACACTCCATAATGACAATGAAGCGCTCTATTCTGCTCAATACGGTCAACAAGTTGACAATATAATTATTAAACATTTTCAGATTTCATGAAATATAGTCTTATTTCATGAAATCTGTCACTGAAAGGGCTCATGTTAGTGAAAGAATTAATGTGAATTAAACGTGTGTTAGAGCAAGGTCACAGATTACGTGGGTTTACTTGTTTCCAATAAAGTCCATCAGCAAACTCTCGGCAAAGCCGGAAAATCACATTAAGGGCTTCACTGGTGGGATTACCTGAGTTCACGCAGGTGAAGTGTGTCACTCAAGCCCTCAGACACATCTCGTGACACACTCACACAGCTTGAAACCAGCTCAGACTCGTTTTAAAATAACGACTGTGAATCTGAGAAGGGGAAAGTGCTCAGTACTGACGGTCCCTTAATTAATGAACAACAGCATTCTGGGAAATTACAGTGTCTGGAATTTCACAATTCTAAAATAATGAAAATTATTTTTAAAAATACAGCATTTTACTTTGTAGGTGCAACTGATTTTCATTAGAATCACAAAAATAGGTCAAAGGAGGAAAAAACAAACAGGATAAAATACCAGCACGATTAATGTTAAACACATACCATGTGTGCAGTATGTATGCTGTAAGCCGTCTTGTATAAAATACAAGGAATGCTACTAAAGCTGTTGCTTTGTGCCCTGTAAAGTGTGTGGTTTGGCTGGTTTGAGCTCCACACGCTTAATGTGGATTCCAGTAGACATCTACTTCTTTTCTTTCTTCTGATTCCCTTATAGAGAAAAATCACAGTCAGTATGGGTCATAATAATAAGATTCAATCTACCACACTCGGAGATTGAAATCTGCGATTTGAAATGGACAGGAAATGAAGTTTACTGAAAATTTAGACACAAAAAAGAAAGAAAAAAGGAAAGGAAATTTTAAAGAGTGTGCATGTGTGTTTTTGTTGAGTGTCATATTTGCTACATCAGCTTTTATAGCTATATAATATGATACAGGTGAATATGGAGCTCATCCTCAAGGATGAAAGAAAACTGAAATATTAAATTGAAATATTACTAACAATCTAAGTTTATAAAAATCAGTAAAGATTTCACAGCAAATAGACAGATGAAGCACGAGCTGAAGCTGGACGTTTGTACAACTACACTAAAAAGCCTTGTTCTTGCTACAGAGGTAAATGATCAATCAGATGACTGAAGGCATGCAGAAGATTGTGTTTTGATCATTTCGATAATTTAGGAGGCCTTCGAAATTTGCGTACATTTTTTTTGTTGTTGTTGTTATTGTTGTTAATGAAACTTACCCACATTAAAGTGTCGATAAAAAGGACTGCATGAAGCTAAGGGTTTATTCTGGGGGCCAGGAAAGTTTAGTAAAAATGAATGTTTGGCAACCAATGTTCCCTCTAAGCTGCACACTTCTTATGTCGCGGCCGCGCAGAAGAAATAATATGCCGCGCGCAGGACAAACACGAAAAAATGAGTTGCGAAAGCCGTTTGATTGAATTCTAGTAAATGTGAAATAATTGCAATGCTTGGGCAAACCGCTATAGAGTTAGAGCCGCTGAATGCAGGTTTACAGGTTTCATAGAAAGAGAATGGTGTGTGCGGCCAAGCGGCAACCTCCCGTGCTGCGTCTCAATGTGCCTACTTATACTACGCCCTTAAAGTATGTACTCTTATGGTGAAGAACACACTTTTGAGTGTGCTGTAGAAGAGTAGGCAAGCTTTGGGACATACTATCACGTCACACAATTGCGTCTTTAACGGACGCTCTGTCGCACAGTTACACGCACCGTCACTGTAAACTGGCCTGTCAATCATCTTGTCACAGTTAACATCCTCCACATTGCATTTCATTTAACTTCCTACCGTATTGGAGAGAAAAGA